ACTGTAATTGTTCTTTTAAAGCTTCTCTGAATTGGTATATGTTGGTGAAGAATGAAATTCTATCAGGTCTATATTCAAACCAGTCGAGAATAACGGTGATTTGCTTGTGGTCAGAAGGTATAGTGTGTTGGTCAAAAGTTTTATAACTTAAAGTTTTTCTGGCCAGGTCATGGGTGATCCAAATCTGGTCAATCCTGGATACACTTGTATTTGTAATGTGGGTAAAGAGATGGTCCTTTCCTGTAGCTTTGGCTATATTGGTAAACTTATAAAGACTTTTGTAGATAGTTCTCTTGAATGGAGCCGTGGGTACATTAATGGATGGAGAGTTATGGGAATAAGAGTTAAAGTCACCCACCATAATAATATGCTTACGTTGGTATTCTCTAATAAAGTTTTTGATAGAAATAACTGCTCGTTTTCTCATACTTCTTTCATGAGGCAAATAGCATGAGATGATAATAATATCAGCCTTTGGTTTGAATTTGAGATGGATGGCACACCAGAATTCATTTTGGGCAAAAGTGTTAAATATATGGTTGCTAATTGACTTCATTGTAATGATACAGGCACCATTACTAGTACTAGTTAAAGGTATACTCGAGATAATTGGAAGGTTATTAATTCTTTTGGGAAATGGATTGTTTACGGATGCTTTTGTTTCAGAACAGTACAGAATACTTCTGTCATTGATAATTGCCTTAGTAAGTTCTACAAGTTTGCCTCTTTAAGTAAGGCCTCTAATGTTAAATATGTGAATATAGTGATTAAATTTCTAATTGATGGAGAGATATGTGGAGTATTTGATATATCAATAATTGGGTTATTAATAGGTGCAGGCAGAAAAGAATATAACTAAAATTGTATAAATTCTTGGAAGATCAAATAATTATATCAAAAATTATATTAGATATTTAAAATTGACTGATGTCATATATTGTTTCTACTTTAAGAAAAAGATATAAACAGAAAACTAATAGCAGTGAAATACTTTGTATAAATGGATCAATATAGTATACTAAAGTTTATAAGAATAAAAATAGGTTTCTAAATTAAAGAAGAGGATATAATTAAAATTTTTTTTTTTTTTTTCATTCTGCTTCAGTGAAACCTTGCTCATAAAGCCTTGTAGCGCAGGTCATAGCTAAGTTGCCCCCTTATCGGGTTACACTTAATACCATTATTTGACTCTGCTTTTTATTGCCACAAGACTAGAACCTACTTACAGGCCTAAGCCATCCGAGTCTGGTTTGCCACCTCCACCAGCTTGGCCAATTGCTTAGTGAATTTTTTCAGTGAGACATCATTGGAGGATAAGGATACACCGGTATATCAAATTTGCCCAGGAGTTGAACCTGGCCTCACCCTGTCTAGTCTAACCAAGTATCACATGTGGGGGGTTACAATTTATGGAGTCACCTAGTCAACCGCTGCAAATACATCCCTTAGGATAAAACATCCCATGATGCAAACAACCTCCTAAGCCTCCGACCGGATCCTCGCCTTCAACGGACATGTGATACCCTGTTGGTAGTTGTGTGACTAATGGTTTTAGTCGTCTGTACCTTTCTTTCCTTTACAGGAAGGAGCCCTTGAAACTTCTTCCCCCTTACGAAGATATTTCCTGGGCAATACTTGATATGAAAGTATTATCAATCATATTATACTACCTTTCAACCCATAGATTACAGAAATACTATGAGATCCCTGATCGCCGAATTATCCATACACTTTCATTTTTGGATTACAGGAGCTACTTGCCCCTAGCAGGAATTGAACCGTGGACCTTAAGGACCTGCCCTAACACCTTAGCCCATTGGACTATGACCGGGTTGGTCATAATTAAAATATTCTTTACTATTAAAAAAGTTTTTTTTTTAATATAAAATAAAAAAAAAACTATCTATAAAGGTTTTTTGCAATTTAGACCACTTAATTCAAATGTTTTGAAATTATATTCTTATTAAAATAATAAATAATTAATTATGTCTCTTCAAAAGAAACATAATTAATCTGTAAAATTTTATATGCTAAATAATTTAAAGACCTATCTTTATATAAGGGTGTACTAAAATTAATACAGTTTTGAGATATATAAGATCAAGTGAAAGAGGCAATGATGATTTGTTTTGTAAAGGTTAAATTATTTTATTAATAAAGAGGAAGTTCAATCTTATAATTTCAGGAGAAATTAGGAATGTTTATATATATATATTTGATATATAAATGAATACATTATAAATATATACTATGTATACTATTTGAGTTATATAGTAAAAAAAATACTATTTTTGTCAAAAAAGTCAATTATATATATTTTTATAGAGAAAAATGTTTTGGCAGAGAGAAATAATTAAAAATACATAAAAAAAATAGGAAATATTTTAGAGCAAAAATAATATAAAAAGCATAGTGCTTGAAAATAGTAATATAAAAATTATTCTAGAATAAAAGATATTTCAAATATAAATGTTACTAAAAATTAAACAAGGGTAATAAAGATCTTTAAGTGAAAATCAAATATAATATTAGAAATTTAGATTATTTAAAAAAGATAAATAAGAGTCAAAAATTATTTGTTGATTAATATTATAAATATTTAATTTTTCGAAAGATAAAATCAGATTTAAAGATTTGAAGAATATCAAAACAATTAATTGCTACTCAATTCCTAACTAAGCTTATATTCAAAACTATCTTAAGAAAAGTTTTAAGAAAAATAATATTCAATCTTATATTGTATACAAAAATCCAATGATTAGTAAAACTTATTGTATTAATGATTAAAATGGATCAAAACTTATAAAAATTGATTCAAAAAGAATTGGCAATGCATTTTATAGATTAACAAATTCTTTATTAATATTGACTCAAATGAAAAAATATGTGTTTAGTATTATAAAAATGAATTCTATGATTCAGATTATACTTAGGCAACTGTTAAAAATAATTGCAAATCTATAATGGTCTGGAAATATATAAATAGATCCAATATATATCATTTACTTTATGCTACATTACATATAAATGAAGAAAAGTATACAAATATTGTTTTTGAAACCATTTATCCATTAATTATAGTTTCTAATGAGATGATACTTCATGAGAATAATATGTCTATTTATAAAAGTAAAATCATAAGAGAGCTTAAATCTGAACTTGAAATTGTAATCATGGAATAATCTTCACAGTCACCTGATTTCAGCTTAATTGAGAATATATAATATAACAGTATAATGGCAAGTCTGTCACTTATTCTAGCAAAGATTTGTATAACCATTATCTGATAAATAAATAAAAAGATGATTGAGATATATTTTTATTTGATTAAGTTTTTATTAATTTTCTTTAATTGTTTTCTTACTCCCTATGACTACTACTATGACTATTACTTTATCTTTTATATTTTATACTTCTTTTCCTTTACATTTGGCTATGACAACTTGGCCATAGAATAATAGTTGCTAATATAATGGTATGGCTAAAGCTGGATAACATAATTCTTTTTCACAATCCTTTTTTATCTCTAAAGATGGATTTTAAATTATTTGTAAGAACATAATTCAAATATCTCTTATTATTAAAAATTTTTATTTCTATATTAAGAAATAAAAAAAAACTATCTACAAAGGTTCTTTATAGTTTTAAGCATCTATACAAATCATTTCTGGAATTATGTTCCTATCGAAATAAAGAGTTATAAATTATGTTCTCTAGAGGATGTGGATATAAAGAGACATAAATTTTATATGCTAAATACTTTAGGGACCCATCTTTACCTATCTCTCACTTATTACCTAATCTTTACAACCATTTTGGCATTAATGTGATAATCAGTCAGGTGACAGATGTTGCATTCCATTTTTACCTGTTACAATGGCAAGAAGTCAAGCACTGGATTCATAAGAACAGAAAACTGTGAATGGAATCCAAATTAGAAGAAGTAGTTACTGTGGCATGGAATAAATATCCATTTGAAAAAATTATTGAGTTTATAGATTCTATGCCTAAATATATTAATGAATGTATAGAAAAAAATGGGTTTGCAACTCATTGGTAAATTTTTATAAGGGTAATAAATAAAGTGAAAAAAAATCGGATAATTTAAGATTTACAAAAATCAACCTTATCATATGTAACTTCTCTATACAATTGTTACCATAAATTATTCATCCATTTTAAGCATGTGACTTGAACTTGCAGAATATAATAATAACGATCAGTTAGATGATGTTTATGTATACATTACAGTAGCAACGATCAAATTTTGCGAATTTGCGATACGTATATTGATATTAATTTTGCGAATTTGTGATACATATTAACTTTGATACATAAATATAAATGCAAAAAAATATTGTGAAAAGCAAGAAAGTTAATATAGAAAAATACCTAATAGTTAATAGGCATCCCATTTGTATCTATTACCATACGTACTCTTTTAGGCATTGATTTAATAAAATTTTTCAATGAATTTTTTTTCTCAAGTTTTGCCCATTCTTCTTGAATCATGATAAATAAATCTTCTTTGTTCTTTGCTCTTGGATTTCGCTTTTCCAAATTTATTTTCAACTCATGCCAAATATTTTCAATAGGATTCAGATCAGATGATTGTGATGGCCATCTTAAAGTTTTTATATTGTGTTTTTTCTTCCATTGACAAGAATATTTTGATTTATAAATAGGTGTATTATCTTCCATAAAAAAATTTTTTTTATCATATTTTTCGAAAAATGGAAGAAAATATTTATCAAGTACTTCACAATACTTGATAAAATTAATAGATCCTTCTGGAAATATGACAAGTGATTCAAGTTTTTCATTAATAAAACATCCCCAAAACATAATACTGATACAGTTACTCTTAAAATTGGATTTTATATAGTCTGCATGAAATCTTTCACCCACTCTTCTCCATACTAATTCCTGTTTAGAACTTGTTTCTTGTACTTCTATTGAAAATTCATTACTCCATAAAATTTTTTTCAATTATTAATCATTCAATTCAAATGTTCGTTGCACCATGTTACTCTTTTGGCTATATTAACAGGATTAACATATGGCTTGAATATGGCATGATAAGAATTAATTCCCATATCTTTCATTGCTTTACAGATAACTTTGTCATAGACATTTAAATTAAGAGATTCTATAATTTTTTTTAAAGTAAGACTTCTTGATTGAGAATTCTTTAATACTTTATTTTGAATTTTTTCTTTGTCTTGATTATTAAGAATTTCTTGACGACCAGATCTTGGTTGATTTTCAACTGTTCCAGTTGCATTATACTTCTTAATAATACTTTGAACAGTTGTATGTGGAAGGGGTGGTTCAAAAGAATTGGCAATTTTATATTGAGACATTCCTATTTTATAATGAATAATAACTTGCATATGGGTTTCATTATCCCATTCACAAGTTTTTTTTCTGATTTTGGGCATATTGGGAGTGAAAAAACAGACATTAACACTAATATTATTACTTTTAAATATATCGATACATAATAGATTTAATAAATCTAACTACATGCTACCAGCAGAGTTTTAGTTGCTATTTTCAGCCGCAGAGGGGGTGTTCTTAATGCAGGTGCACTTACAATGATTTCAAGTGAAATTTCCGAATTACGGAAATTTCTTACATTATATATGATATCATGTGTTTAATATAAGACTGACCAGATATTTTTCTATCATTTTAAAAAACTAGAAAAATAATTTTAAATAATATTTTAATATTTTATATCAAATCTAGCTATTTACATCATATTAAAATTTTATCTAAATAAAATTGCTAGTTTTTTGAGAAAATATACATAAATAAAAAAATATACACTCAAAGGATCGTCACGAATTCACGAAATTTATGCGAATTATTTTTATTCTTTGTTTTATTTTATTTATAAATTTTATTTCTTTTTTTATTTTTTATTTCTTTATTTTATTTTTTTTTTATTTATAAATTTTATTTCTTTTTTTATTTTTTATTTCTTTATTTTATTTTTTAATTACAAACATTATTTGCTTTATTTTTTTCCGATTTTCGATTTTTGATTTCCGGCTTTCGAATTT